GCCAAGTATTCCCTGTTTCCTGTAGGATCTAGACTCTTAGGCTTGGCTGCTGATGGTGGCAAGTGGGTCTGAGAATGAAGGCTTAGTGTTCTTAGATCTTAATGTTTATACTGAAAGATGGTGATAAGCATTTTGTCTCCTGGACTTGATTGAAAATGGGTTGTGTGTTTATTTTTAGGTTTTTGTTACAGTATGTTAAAAGGCAGAACGAATATGGGACTGAGCTAACTGCTGTGCCTTGAAGGAGCCTGTTGCTGTATTTCCTTGCAGAATTGAGGGTGGAAGGTGAAAGTATTTACCTCCTGAAAAGCTACTAAGCTGTGTAATTTGTGTATAAACAGCTGATTATTAGGCCCTTTAAGCAAGGACACTTGCTTAATGGTTCACTTATTTGAAATTGTCTGGTGGTTATCCAGTGGTTTGCAGGGATGGGCTCTGCTATCTCTTAATACTAGAAGATCCTCCTTCATTTTAAAAGTGCAGATAAGTAAAATCTGTGCATGATGGCCTATATTACTTCTTTGGGGTTCTGATGGGCTGCTTCAAACTTAGTATTTGTGTGGAAGTGTTGTGTATCATGTTTGTTACCTTCCAGGGAGCTCTACCTTTATGAAGTAGGATTTGCAACTGGCTTTGTTTTGCTACATGTAAACCAGATTGCTCAATGTTGGAAAAACTAAAGCAAATTTACAGTAAATGCAAAGGGAGCTTATCTGGATGAACTTGATTTGTGCTAGCTGTTTTGTCTATACAAAGACAACATTTTAAAACAAGAGGTTCATGCAAAGCTGTTTAGCTGCCTGAATGTGCTGGTCAGCTGGCCACTTGCTTCTTGAAGCTCTACTGCCCAGATGTGCAAATGACTTCTTAATCTAACTGTGCCAGCAATGTGGCTGATATCTTGTGTGTTCTGGCTGCTAATCAAAGTGCATTAGTCAAACTCTAAGCAGGTGGGACTGGTGTTTCTTCCCTCACTTCTCAAACTGTAGAAGACCTCATGACCTCTAACATGGTTTACAGAAGAGTCTTCTGGTGTGGGAGTGGTGCGGTTGATAAGCCAAATTCTGTGGTGCTACTTCAAGCATCAAACTGTGCTTTAAGCATGAGTCTCAGTTCACATGCAATTAAAATTTAGAAGCTGACACAAATCTGGCTTCTTTTGGGGTGGGTAGTGTCTTTATTTGGGGTTTTACTAGTGTGGAAAGACAGAGACCTTGTAGCAGGACTCTGCCATGTGTCCATGTGCCAGGTCTGATACAATATGGCTACTGGCTTTATTCTGTTAAGTAACTATACTCATGTTTTCCCCATTCAAACTAGCTTTCAGTCTGAGCTTGCATTTCTTCTCCATTAAATGTCTTCATGTGACTACCTGTTTACATACGCCCTGTGCTGAAAGGTTCTTGCCTCTTAAATCTTACATAACCTTATTCTGCATATTCATTGACAGTTGGTTGTCACAGAGTAAAACTGTGTTTCCCCTGACTGCAAAGAACTTTTTTGTCTGAGGCAAGTGTAATGTTTGAGCATGGCTCTGTGGGTAGACTCTTCCTATATGAGCAGCAGTGGTATTTCTTTGGTTGTGTTTCTTAATGGAAATTGAACTGCTGGGTGTCATCATGGATCTTGTGTGGTTAACTGTTTATTGGTGATGGGGAGTGGCACTTGACTGTTGGAGCTGGAAATGTGGCTTACTTCAAGCTTCAAATGAACTGAGCTTGGCACTGAATCAGCAGAATGGAAATGGTTAAAGCTGGGTATTGCTTGTTGGGGGAAGTGCATGTCACAGGGAAGGGATAACAAATGCTGTCTCTAGAGTCAACTACCTTGTTGCTTAGAGTTATGAATAAGGGGTTTGATCTCAAAGGAGCTCCGAGAGGTTTGATTCCTTTATCTTTATTGGTTTTGCCCTCCATGTGGGAGAAAAGATATGAGGAGTGACAGAGTGGACTGTCCATCTCTCTCGTCAGTTCTTTTATATGCTGGGTTATCTGTGCTCCTGTTGTGTTATTGCTACTAGTATATGAAGTAATACATGCTCAGTACCCCATCTTTGCTGCTCTGCTCTTGCTCAGTTTCAGCAGTGCTGACTTCCTTTTAGTGTGTTTTCAGTTGATGATCCCTGTAATTGTGAGGGTTCCTCTCTTGTATCTAACCAAAAACTACTCTGGCATGCAGTGACCATCGTACTTCTCCCTGCAAGGCAAGGAAGAGGGTATAGCCTGGCATCTGATGGGGGTGTTTCCAGCCCTTCACTCTCTGAAGCAAATGAAGCAATAAAAGAAGTTGGGATGCTTGGATTTTGTTTCTGGCTCCATTGCAGACTTCCTAGGTCAACTACCTCACTTCTGTGGTGGTGTTATCTTTGCTGCATGTGCTGATGAACCTGCAGTCCTACATGGTGTGCTACCTTCTGTTTGATCAAGTTTGCCCAAAGAAGCAGCTTGCATGCTGTGGTCAGCACCATGTGTTCATAGGAGTCTTGGTATCTGTCTTCCAAAGCATCTTTGACAACACTGAACTCTGTATGGCTCAGGTAGTCTAATGGCTGTCTGAGAATTTGCAGTAATGGTAGGCCTAATGTATCATTAGTTACTTAATTAGTCTTGTTCTCCAAGCTCTCTTTCTGCCCTGGAGCACTGGTGATGCAAATGGGGGCAAATCTTTTTTTCAAATGAGAGAAAAAGAGAAGGCTGGAAAGGTCTATGGCCATGTAGCAGGCCATTTGGTCTTCTAGCATATTTCCTAGAAGCTACTCTGCAGTTCTTGTGAACTCTCCTTTTAGTCATCCTTCAAGCTTGGTTAGAAGTGTAGTTCAAGGAGCCTGTGAGCAACAAGCTGAAAAAGACTTGTCCGATGGATGTAGCCGTTCTTGTTCTTCACTCTGTCTCTGCTCTTCTGTCCAGACTTTGGTTTAAAATGTGTGTCACATGCACTGTTCTAGGAGCAGTTATGCAAACAGTAAAGCAATATAGAACACTACACCTTAATTTACCACAGAGGGCCTGTGGCATTTAGAGTCTCATGATCGTGTTAAAGTAGTAGCTGCATGTCTTGCTGATGAGTCTGCTCTTGTTTATGCAGAGGCCTCTGGGTATAAGTACAGAGTGGAGGTAAGAAACAAGACAGACCAGTGCAGTTTTTCCCCCCTTGATGAAGAGCATAGAGAGGATGTGTATGGTTTCAGCTTTTTTTTTTTTCCTTGAAAGAACATCTACATGTGAACATCTGCAGTTCAAGAAACTGCTCAAGTGCTTAAAGATCAAAAAAAAAATATGCATTTTAAATTTCAATCAAAATTTGAGTGCATAGATGTATGGTTTGTGCCTTTTGAATTCTTTTCTTTAGCATTCATACTGCTAGTTGCAATTCTAGTAGACATAAGATCTAAGGATGACAGAAGACTTGGGAAGGATAATCTGAAGGGGGACTCTATCTATTTCTGAAGAATGCATAAAGCTTTTCTGTAGCTCTAATTTTACATTAATTGCTGTTTGAAAACTTTGAGTAGAAACTTTCTGCCTTAACACAAACTGCAGGTAGTGGGACAGAAAACCAGAATATTTTCAACTCCTAGATGGCATATGTTCCCCATATTTCAGCTTGGGTTTTATTGGTGATGCAGTTGTGGTGTTAATTGAATTTTGGGGGTGGCATGTAGGGGTTGAAGTTGGCAAGATGAGATGAGTTAGACTTTTCCTCCACTGTGAGGTGAGTGGGGGAGGCATGAGGATAGGAGCTCACCTCTATTTACATATAAACAGGCAAAGAAGTTGGCCAAAGGTACCAGTTCTTGGTAGACAAGACTGGGAAAATAAAACTGGAAAGGAGTTAGCATATAGTTTCAGATGAGATGACTCTATCCTTTTCTTTTCTTGGATGATGTGAGTCATCAGCAACAGTGTATAAGGATGGTGCTGTTGATTACTCTGTGCTTCTGCTGGAGTACTTCACTGTATCAGTCCTTTACACTGGAAGAGGCAACTTCTATTGAGGAAGTGCTGAGGATGTGTTTAGGCTTGATAAGTTTTAGGTTTGCTGGGCTACTGTGTGTGCACACAGGGGAAAAACCTGAAAGGCATTGTGCATGCTCTGCAAGCATCTAGTCTGTCTGCTAACCATTAACAAAAGAGAATCTTGTGGATTCTGTACAGCTGCTTCTCTTTCCTCCCCTGACATCTCTTGTCCCTCAAGAGCCCAGCACATAGAGAAAGCAGGCTTTCTAGCATGACTTGAATGACAAGCCAAAGCTTATTCTCAGAGAGGCTTATGTCCTAGGTCACATGGTTCTCTTTAAATTTAAATGATGGTGTATCATGGGGTTATGCTCATCATAAGAAGAAATGGTCTTGTTTGTGTCTTGGAAAAATAATCAGATCTTCATATATATAAAGAAATCAGTGTCCAAAATTTCTAATAATTAAGAATAGTGGGAGAGCAAAAGACATGAGAAATAGCTGAAAGTGAGTAAATACACATTTGTAAACTACAGATTTAGCTGCGTCTGTTATAGAAGTTAACTCCTGTTCCTATGGTCCATGGGAATTCACCCAGAAAGTCTAAGAGGTGTAATGCAAATTGACTTGCTAATACAAGCATACTTGCCTATATTTATCTGCCAAAGAGCAAGCAGTCCTCAGTATCCTCTCTACTGAATGTTACTTGCTGCTGACTGCACTAGCCGGTCAGCTGCAGCTAGTGTCTGCTGCTGGCTAGCTCAGCTGTATCAAATACTGAGCTCCTGGCAGGAACTCTTGCCCCATGTGCTAAGGTTGAGTGCATGATGAGTTCTCTAGCTGTAGCTGTTCTTGCAGGTATAGCTCTGTGTATAGTAGTCTCTGAAACCTTGATATAGTTACGGGGTGAGAGTAGCATAACATAACATCTTGCTCTGTTCCCAGCTGACTAATATTGGAAAAAGTGTCTTCCTTTTTT